GCGTAGATGCGAATCGCGGCGTTATAGCCGTGATCCCCTTCTTCCTTTCGAAACGTGGCCATCAAGTGGTCGAAGACCGCCGGGAGTTCGGCGCGCGGCAGAAAGGTAGCGTCGCTCAGGTCGACGCCACCGAGATACGGTCTGATGATTCGGAGCGGATCCTCCGTGCCCAGGTGCTGTGTGAAGATCTCGCGCGCGGATTCGAGTTCGCGCTCCCGGAGTCGATCTGTGTGAGAGTCTAACATCCAAAAGGGAACAGAATGGCTCATGTGCGCGAATAAGAGGTCGAATGTGTGCGGGATCGGCTGGAAGTGACCTTCCTCGCGGAGGTCGTCCCAAAGATCCATGAATATCTGATGCGGGAATTGCCATCCCATGGCGTTCTCGTGGATCGCATGCCGCAGGGCGCAGAGCTCGCAGAACTGCTGTCGGATCCACTCGTAGAAATCGGCCGCGGGCACGAGCGCGCCGCTTTGATCCTCGACCATGAGGGGGATGGGCTCGTCGTCATCCACTCGTAAGATGAGCCGCGGCAGATTTGCGTTCGCGCCGGGCGCCACGAAAGAACGCGACGCGCGAGATCCCTGAACGGCGGCCAACGCCAAGATCGGCGTTTGCTTGTCCTGATAGGTGTTCCACGCATAAAGTGCTTCATCCTCGCCGTATTTTGCTACCACCTCGGCATAAGTGCGAGGCCCCTCATGAGTGGAAATGATGTCATCGTCCTTCGGCTCACTGTTCCGCATGATGGCCTCGGCGACGGCGGCGCGACTTGATATCCAAGCTCGATGGGAGCCACGCAGTGCCTGGCAAGCCGCTTATCCAGGTGGGTTTGCGGGGTAACTCGGCGAACGTGCCAGCCAGCTGGTGCATGCCCAAACAATAGTAGTGGCGAAAAATTGGGATTGGCGATTGCCGACACTCCGACGCCTGCTAGGAGCCTGCTAGGACTCCTGCTCCGCGACCAGCCTACGACGGCGCGGGCGCGGTCGCAGTTGCAATCACACAACAAGCTCCTGTGTCAACCTTACGACGTAAACACGTGGGCGTGGTTGCCCGCGTGGGCGTCCTTGCGGAGGCACGCGGCCGCGCGCGTCGCGCCGAGGACGCGCTCCAGGGCCAGGGCGTCGAAGCGCGTGTAGAGGCACAGCGACCGCGTCGGCTCGTCCGCGCGCTTCGCGAGGTCGAGGAGCTCCGGGTAGAAGTGGGCGTGGTCCGGCGGGGACACGAAGACGAAGTTCGTCGCGCCGCGGACGCGGTAGCGGTGGTAGAAGTGCGCGCGGCCGCTGTAGAGCAGGAGCCGCTGCTCGCCGTGGAAGAAGCGGCTCCGCGCGCGCGACACCTCGGAGCCGCGGCTGTACTCGTGGATGGCGAGGAAGGGCGCGCCCTTGGCGCGGAGCGCGGCGCGGCACGCGACGAACTCCGGGTACGACGCGCAGTAGACGAGCGTGCGGTCGTCGCGGCTGTCGTCGCGGAGCGACTGGACGAACTGGGGCGACAGGACGTCGTCGCGGAAGTAGCGCACCTTCGCGTCGGCCGCGCGCGCCGGCGCGGACGCGCGCAGCGACTGGAAGACGTGCTCGCCCTCGCGCGCCGCGGCCAGGCCCAGCCCCGAGGCGGCGTCGGCCGTCGGCGGCGCCGCGAGGCGCACGGCGCCCGCGCGGTTCCGCAGCGACCCCGGGCCCGGCGCGTCGACGAGGCTCCGGAGCCGCGCGTCCGCGAACCGCGACAGCGCGACGAGCTGGCGGCACGCGGCGCCGTGGCCGTCCAGGTAGGGCTCGCGCACGCGCGACACGTCGGCGTCCACGGCCGACGGCGGGCCGTTGCAGGCGCCCAGCGCGCGCTCGACGTGGTCCCAGTTCTGGTACAGTAGCACGTCCGCCATGTCGAGCACGGCGAGCTCGACGCTCCCGAGATGGTCGAGGCAGGGCCGCTCGGCGCGCTCCGCCGCGAGGCGCACGTTCAGCGGCGTCGCCACGACCACGTCCGCGCCGTTGCGCTCGTAGTCCGCGAAGAACTTGCACGCGCGCCGCTTCCCCGGCACCAGCGCGACGCCGACCGACGCGTCGTCGTCGCAGTTGCCGCCGAAGACCGCCTCCCAGTCCGGCGGGCCCTCGCGCTTCGTCGCGCCGCCCTCCTCGTCGTCGTCGCCGGGCCCGCACTCGCGCCGGAGCCGGCCCAGGCGGCTCGTCGCGCCGCCGCAGAGCTCCGCGAGCGTTTCGCAGACCTCGAGCGCGGCCTTGCGCGTCGGCACGAGCACGAGCACGCGCGCCCGCGTCAGGCCCTGGTCCCGCGGCGCGCCGCCGTCGGCGCCGCCGTCGGCGCCGTCGTCGAGCAGCGTCTTGAAGCGCTCCGTGGGCTCGGGCGCCTCCAGCGGCGCGGACCGCGCGACGCCCTTGCGCGCCTCGACGGGCGCCGCGGCGGTGTCGGCGACCCTGCGGTCGTGGCGCCGCTGGCGCGCCTGGGACCGGAGCACGTGGTCGACGGCGTGCGCGAGCGTCGCCCGGAGCAGCGGCTCGCGCGCCGTGTCGCCCGAGGGCGTCACGCACGTCGCGAGCACGTCGCGGTAGGCGCCCAGGCTGCGCAACAGCGCCCGCTGCGTCGTCGACGGCGCGCCGAGGGCCGCCCGCACGGCCGCGCCGAGGCGCCGCTCCTCGGACTCGAGGCGCTCCAGGCCGCCGAGGTCCGAGCCCGGCGACGCCGACCAGTTCTTCGCCGCGCCGGACCCGGCGCCGACGGCCGCGTAGTCGCGGCCCGCGCGCCGCGCGCCCAGGGCCGCGACCTCCGCGGCGCCGAGCGCCGCGCCGAACTGGCGGTCCATCGCCGCCGCGCGGTCGCGCGCGGCGTCGTCGCCGTCGTCGCCGTCGTCGTCGTCGAAGTCCTCCTCCTCCTCCTCCTCCTCTTCCTCCTCTTCTTCGTCTTCCTCCTCCTCCACCTCGATGCCCTCTTCTTCCTCGGCGTCCTCGTCGACCTCCGCCTCCTCCTCCTCCTCGCCGTCCTCCTCCTCCTCGGACCCGGACGCCTCCTCCGGGACCTCGCCGTCGTCGTCCTCGCCGCGCGCGCCGATGCCGAGCTCCGCCGCCGCGTCCTCGAAGGCGACGCCGCCCGCGGCCTGCGCGCGCACCTCGCGCTTCGTCGGCCAGGACCGCGCCGGCGCCTCGCCGAGCGCCGCGCGGCGCCGCTCCGTGCGCCGCTGCGTCTGCGTCTTGCCCTTGGGCTTCGGCGCGGGCTTGGGCTTCTCGAAGCGCTTCGCCTGCGCCTGGAGGTAGCTCGCCTCGCGCACGCGCGTCCAGCGCGTGCGCAACGCCTCCATGCGGCCCTGCGTCTCGCGCGGCCCGCGGCCCTTGGGCGGCGCCGAATCGACCATGACGTCGTCGCCGTCGTCGTAGTCGCGCTGCACGCGGCTGCGCTTCTTCTTCTTGCCGCCGCCGGGGTTGGCGTTCTTCGGCGGACGCTTGCCCATCGTCGATGTGGTCTTTTTTTATGCGGTGGCTGCGGCAGTGATCGAGCTACTCGATTGCCATCATCGCTTATTTTGGCCAGGTTGTTGAACGTTAACTTGCACTTCGTGTCCACGTCGTGGTACACGTTCGGAGCCCACTATTTACAGCGCCTCCTGGGGAAGCGGTCGGTGTCGGGGAAGAGCGGCGGGGAAAGCGACGGGCGGAGCGCGGACGACCGGCCTACTGTTCGGCCTCGGACGGCGCGGTCTTGGAGATGCCCGGGATGGGCAGGATCTCCTTGTACGCGACCGTGCCGTAGACCAGCAGGACGAAGCCGACGAACTCGAGGTAGGACCAGTTGGTCCACTCCTCGCCGCTCTTGGAGTCGTGCCAGCCGTAGTAGATGACGATGGACGTGACCCAGACGCCGAGCGTGCGGCACGACTCGAGGATGGAGCGCATGATCGCGGAGAGCTGCTTCGTGACCATGTTGCCGACGAGGTTGTAGACGAGGAGCGCGACCATGGACGCGATGGTCAGAATAATGAGGTCCGTCGAGTTCTTGAGCTGGTCCCAGGTCTCGGCGAAGTTCTCGTGCCAGATCGTCGACGCGGACGCGAGCTCGCCGTCGTCGTTGACCGTCGGCGTGTACGAGAGCACGGGCGCGAGGATGAGGAAGTAGCCGACTCCCCAGACGCCCTCCCAGCCGACCAGCAGCGTCGGCGTGACGTCGCACTCGTTCATGAGCCACTCCTCGAGGACGAACTGCACGGCGCCGACGACCTGGCCCAGGAGGATGAGCAGGAGGCCGAGGATGTATTCGCCCGCGGACGAGCCGCCGGAGTCGGACGCGCCGAAGACGCCGCTCACGCCGACGACGACGATCGCGAGGCAGACGATGATCACGGAGACCCAGTGGACGGCCTCCATCTTCTTGCCCATGTAGCGCACGGAGAGCGCGCAGGTGAAGACGATGACGGAGCCGCGCGTCATCTGGTACGCCGACGAGCTCACCCAGATGAGGCCCGCCTGGCTCAGGACCGTCTGGAGCAGGTCCGTGAGCGCGGGGATGGCGATGAAGATGATGGACTTGATCGTCGGCTCGCCCGCCGCGGCCCGCTTCTCGCCGCCGAGGAGGCCCGCGCCGAGCTCCGGGTCGCTCGGCGCGGACGCGGCCTTGGCGCGCTTGTTGAAGTACTTGGCGACCATGGAGATGACGAGGCACGTCGACATGGCGATCTTCATGACCAGCGTCTGGAACCAGGGCTTGGTGAACAAGCACTCGCGCCGCGTGAGGTCGTCGTCCGCGTGGCCGTCGTCGTCGTGGTACTTGCACTGGACGAAGCCCGCGGACCGGACCTCGTACTGGAGCTTGCTCGTGATCGTGCTGGCGGTGCCGCAGACCACGATGAGGACGGATAGGAGGACCGGGCCGACAACACACCTGCGTGGGCGCGTAGGTCATAGGTCCGTAGGTTCCGGTCGAGGCTACGTAGGCGCGTAGGCGCCTACGTAGCCCCTCAAAAGCGGCGCCTACGTAGGATCCAGAGGCTCGAGCCGAGGCTACGTAGCCTCGTAGGCGCCTATGCGCCGACACTGCAACACACCCAAACTCGACGTCCTCCTCGTCCTTCTCGAAGATGCCGCAGCAGACGGTCTCGTCGCCGTCGTCCTCGGAGCGCGGCTGCTGCTGGATGGTCAGCGACGACGTGCTAGGCGATTCCATGGTTCGAGCGCTGACGAAACACGGCGCGCGCGGTCCAGAATTCGAGTTGGGGCGGCTATCGCGCGCGAGAGCGATTTAATAGGCTGCCCCAAAACCTCGATAACTTGAACCTGCATCATCACGAATGGTGCAGCCGGCGTTGACTCGGTCACGCTGCTCGGATCATCTGGGCCTCAGCACGGAGAGGGCTGCTGGGGGTGTCGCCGTCAAGGTCTACGTCGCGCTTTTTGTGGAACGAAGCGGTGGGGATCGATGGACGCGGCTGAGCGCCAATTCCTGGACCAAACGCGCGCCGCCTATGCGAGAGGCGAAGTCGGAGTCGATGATCCCGTGGAGTATGGTGGTTTAACAAGAACATTCATGTACCATGCGGCGAAATATGGGTGGTTGCGACTCATGAAATGGCTCCTGGAGCGCGGCGCCGACCCGAACCTCAGCGTTAGGCCGAGCCCGTGCCAACAGTGGAAGCCGCTGCACGTCGCTACAAGTTGCGGTCGACACGACGCCGTGATTCTCTTGCTCGATAACGGTGCTCTGGTCGACGCGGTGGATGATGAGGATGAGACTGCGCTCCACGTCGCTGTTTGGAATGAAGCGTATGACCTCTGCAAGCTGCTATTGAGCCGGGGCGCGTCGCTGGACATGCGCAACGACGTAGACGAAGATGCCGAGGAACTAGCGCGAGACTGTGGCTACACGGCAGTGGCCGCGCTCCTCGCCGAGGTTCGCGCGGCCGGGGGCTGGAAAGCCTACGTCGACGCGCCGCGGAATGAGTTCCTCGAGATCCGTCGGAACCTTCCTGCGCTCCTCGAGCGCGGACGAGCTTCCGTGTCCCACGCCCCCCCGCACCTCGCTCGCCTCTTCAACCCGGCTCACGATGTCCCCGAGGACGTCTTCATCAACATCTTCTCCTTCTGGCGCGGCCCGCGCGACTCCTAGGTGCGCGATCCGGTTACGTCGGACCGCGCGCTCCTCGGCGAGCTCGACGCGGCCGACGCGCGGCGGGCGGCGCTCTGGGACGCGCTAAGGTAGTGACGGTGGGGACGCATGGCCGGGGATGCCTCTCTCGGGCGAAACTCCGAGGCGAGTGCAGCACGACTACGGCCGCGAAGGCTCCGCAGGCCGCACACCACGTTGGTTTGACTTCAAGTGCACAGCACGATCAGGGCACTCACTGGGCCGCGTCTCCAGTAGTCGCCCGCGCGCCGCCGCCGGTTACGGCCGCGCGAAGCGTCGCGCAGACGACTTTGCGGCTCGAAACGGCGTGTGACGGCGGCCTGCGGGCAACGCTCTCATGAAGCAGCTCGAAATGCTCTTTGTCGCCTTTGTAGCCGTCGCCATGACCGACGCCTCGACTCCCTCCGCCCCCGAGAAGCAGCACGCATTTACCTACGTGAATTTGAACCTTTTCAGAGATAAACATCAGCAAGAGTCGTGGCCTCCGTTCGACGTCTTGACGGGGGCGTCTCGCGGGCCGTTGAAGGCGTGGTTGAACGCGAGACCCGTCAAGTCCCCCGTCTTCGAGCAGAGGCTCTTGCTTTTTCGAAGGGAGCTTCGCAAACCGCGCCCAACGTTTGCCGTCCATTACCACCACAGGATGCCGGGGATGAACGGCACGTCCGACTTGATCCGCCCGCTGCGCCGGTACCTCGACGCGCGAGGCTGCGACCTGAAGGTCGGAGTGGTGCTCCGGGACTCCGTTGACTGGGCCGCGTCTACGTCGCGCTACCATACCGACTTTGACGGCTCGCACGTCTCCCAGAAAGCCGCGAACACTCGCGACGGTCAGTGCCGCTATCTGTTTTACAACACGCGAAGTTACAAGCATCTATCTCTCCCCGTCTGCGACCTTGCGAGGGCCGACGACATCCTTCGACACGACGTTGACTTCGTGGGTACCACGGACCGCCTCGACGACTTTTGGACGTGCGTGCAATCGACCATGACGTGGGCAAAAGAATCTGAATTGCCGAAACACAACATGAACCCGTTCGCGTTGAAAGCGCCGTCGACCGAAGACCAGCAGCGCATTCGAGAGAGAAATACGTTAGACGCGCGACTCCTCGAAAGGCACGGCGGCAAGTGCCGCGTCACCGCGGCGGCCGATGCCTCGGCGACCTCTACCGCGACTGCCCTCCGGGCCTACACCGCGGCGGCCGATGCCTCGGTGACCTCTACCGCGACTGCTCTCCGGGCCTAAAGGTGGAGCTCGACGCGGCGGCCGGGCGGCGCCGCGGGACGCGCGAACGTTGTTATCCTCCGGGGAAGGCGAGTCGTGATTAAGAGCGCGATCCGGTTACGTCGGACCGCGCGCGGTACCGGCGACCTCTCACACCACGGACACGGTGAAGAGCCGGATGGAGTTGCCGTCGAAGAGGGGGAGGACCTGGTTCTGGAGGAAGATGACGCCCCAGAGGAAGGCGGTGAACCAGAGGGAGGTGAAGGTGTTGGGCGTGTATTTGCGGATGACGATGGCGTGGGGCACGGGGAGGAGGCCGACCATGGTCGTGTTCTTGATGAAGTCGAGGATCGCGGCCTCGTCGAGGCTGAACTCGGACCGCGCGCAGAGCTCGTCGATCTGGGGGCCGAGGTGTTTCAGGAGGCGCATGATCGTCGACAGGGGCAGCTCGGCCTTGACGCGGTCGAGCCAGTCCTGGCTCGGCACGAAGGCCGCCGTGCCCGGCAGCGCCTTGAGCTCCGCGGCGCGCTCCGCCGCCGCGTCCTCGTCCGCGTCGGGCTCCGCGCCGTGGGGCACCGGCGGCGCCGGCGGCGCGTCCGACGCGTCGCCGTTCGCCGGCGGCGCCGGCGGCGTTTGGGACGGCGCGGGCTTCGCGGCGCCGCGGCGCGCGTGCTCGCGCTCGACGGCGGCGGTGATCGCGCGCGGCAGCGTGAGCTGCTCGAGCGCGTCGAAGACGGGCTTGCGGCGGACGATGGCGTAGACGAGGTGGGCGTTGCCGCCGTACTGGTACTGGATGACGTTGTTGAAGAGCTCGAGGAGCAGGCTCACGTAGACGTGGTTCGCCTCCGCCGCGTAGAGGAATTTCGGCGACGTGAAGAGCTCGAAGAGGTTCACGAGCTTCACCGCGGCCACGAGGTCGATGCACTTGGCGTAGGGGCTCAGGTTGCACAGCACCGTCAGGAAGCAGTTGTAGAGGGGCGCGAGGCGGTCGCCGCCGTTGACGACCATCTTGTGGAGCACGACGACGAGCAGGTCGACGTGCGACCCCGAGAAGAGCGGCAGGTCCGCGGGCAGGCGCGCCTCGTAGGGCTTGTTCAGCGCCACGCAGAAGCTCCGCTCGCCGCTCAGCTTCAGCAGCACGAAGGTGCAGATGTGCACCAGGCCCACGCGCGCCGCGTCCTTGCGCGCCTCGTACATGAGGAACGCGACGGGCACGACGGCGCGCGTGACGTCGCACTCGCGGAGCGCGTGGGGCGCGAAGTGGTCGTTCTCCTCCAGCAATTTCCAGAGGATCACGAGCACCTCCTGGTAGCACTCGATCTGGCTCAGGGACCCGGGCAGGGTCGTGTTCAACGCCTCGTGCACGTTGTTGAGCAGCCGGCACAAACCCTCGAAGAGGAACTCGAGGTAGTCCGGGTCGTCGATCTCCCCCAGGAGCTCGCGGAAGACGTTGCGCCGCCCCTCCGGATGGGGCCCGACCTTGGGCGACTCGCCGTAGTCCAACAAAGCGATGAGCACCTGCGCCGCCGCGTAGACCGCCTGCGTCGGCGCCTCGTCGGACAAGTGCCCGCCGTAGGGCACGCCGAGGCCGATGGGGTCGTAGCCGCAGACGACGTTGAGCAGCGAGTAGAGCAGCAGCTTCGCGTTGGGCGCGTCCGGCGCCGTCGCGACGCCGAGCCAGCGCGAGCTCCAGCGGTCGAAGCCGTCCGCGGACTCGTAGAGCGGCTCGCACGACGCCGCGAGCAGGAGCCGGAGCACCTCGACGCGGTTCCGGTCGAAGGCCACGGACGACGTCGGCACGACGTCCGGCGGGCACCCCAGGCCCGGCGCCCAGAGCGCGCGCGCGGGCACGGGCGCGTCCTCGGCCTCGCCCTCGAACGCGGTGGCGTCGACGGTGAACGCCGGCAGGAAGAGCAGGTGGAGCGCCGCGTGCACGATGAGCCGCGCCAGGGGCTCGGCGCCGCCGTCCTCCTCCTCGCCACCCTCGCCCCGGCCCTCCTCGGGCTCCTCGACGCCCCAGCACAGCTGCTCGCAGAAGTCGTCGCCGCCGTCCTCCAGGAGGAACGGCAGGAGCCGCGTCAGGATCCGCAGGCAGTTCGACGCCTGGCCGAAATACATGGGCACGGGCGTGTGCACGATCTGGCAGAGCTGCGCGACGGCCTGCGTGAAGAGCGTCACGACGTTCTCCGGCCGCTCCCGCTTGAGCTGCCGCACGTCGTCGGGGCTGATCAGCTCGAAGACGTCCTCGGGCGTCGTGCTCAGCTTCCAGAGCTCGTCCCAGAAGTCGTGCGCGTCCGGGCTGACGTCGCTCTGCGACAGCATGACGAGGATGTCCGCGAGGTCCGCCTTCGAGTTGCCGCCGCCCATGGTTGGAGAGCGGGTGGGCTACAGGTGGCGTTTATCGGCGTGCGGGAGGCGGCGCGCGCGACGTAAAGTGCGCAAGTCGAAGCGCGACTTGAGCGACGATACGGTGGCGGAGCGGAGCGACGAGAGAGCTAGTGCACGTCACTAAAGCTGCTGATCGCGCTCACCATACGCTCGCTGCCGCAGCCAGCTCGAAAATTGCCGGCCGCTTGCGAGCCGGGGGTCAATCGCGCGGCGCCGCCGCCGCGCGCGGACTGGCCGTGGAGGCATCTGTCCGCACAACCCCGCACCTGAACGAAGAGAGAAAAAAACACGGCGATTAACCCGGAGGCGAACCGGCCGCGGCGCATCAAAAAGCGGCGCGGGCGGGCGGCTCCGGATCGTCGCCTAGCCTAAGAAGTCGTTGGACGCGGAGCGGTCGCGCTTGAAGAAGCGCGCGGACTTGGAGACCGTGGAGATGGCGCTGGCGTTGAAGAAGCCGTAGGCGGGCTCGTTGTCCTGGAGGCGCCAGTCGAGCGCGACCTCGGCGACGCCGTCCTTGCGGCTGCGGAGGAGGATGCCGCCGCCGAAGGGCGTCCGCACGGCCGAGCCCGGCGCGGGGAGCTTCGTCCTCGGCCGCTGGTCGTAGGGCGACGACGGGATCGCCGTCGGCTCGCAGAGGGGCACGGGGTCGAGGCCGTACTTCTTCACGAGCACGCGGTTGCAGCGCCGGAGCGCGTCGTCGAGCTCGACGCGCCGGTAGTCGATGCGGCGGTCGTTCTTCTCCCACTGCACGAGCTCGAAGTCGAGCTTCGCCGCCAGCCCGACGCGCCGCAGCCCCCGGGGCCCGATGAGCTTGTGCTGCGTCGCGTCGATGGCCGCGTCGACGAACGTCTCGACGAAGCAGACGCCCGCCTTGTCCCAGGCCGCGCGCGCGCTGTGCGCGTCCTCGTGGTGGCGGCCCCGGTGCGTGCGGTCGATGGGCTGGACGACGTGCATGTAGGCGCGCTCGAGCTTGCCGCCGCGCGGGTTCGACGCCGCGGCCATGAGCTCCGCGGCGCGCGCGTCGCCCTGCCCGTTGTCGCCGACGAAGACGAAGTCGAACTCCGGGTAGAGCGACTGGAACTCGAGGAAGTTCTGCGCCTTCTTCTGCGCTAAGGGCTCCATGTCGCCCCGGAGCATCATCTCGCCGCCCGTCTTCAGGTCGCCCGTGAGCATCGTCGGCATCGCGTGGAGCCGCCGCGACTGGAGCAGGTGCGTGAACTTGGCGTAGGACGACCGCTCCGCGAGGTCGCCGAAGACGTGGGGCCGCGCGCTCAGGAAGACGAGGTTCCCCAGGCGCCCCGACGGCGCCGACGGCGCGAACGTGAGCTGCTCGCCGTCGCGCTCGCCCGCCGCGCCCAAATCCAGCTCCCGGAAGAACGCGAGCACGCCCGGGTAGACGGCCTTGCGGGGCCAGCGCCGGTCGATGCCCGCCGGGTAGACGCCGCCGCTGCTCATCAGCGTGTCGTCGATGTCGCTCAGGACCTTGCGGTCGCCGCGCCGCGCGGACCGGAGCCGCGAGATCCTCGTCGACAGGAGCCGGTGCGCCGCGTGCACGGACGCCTCGCGCTGGATGTGCTTGAGGATCTCGCGGCGCACGTGGCCCTGGCTGATGTCGTGGTACACCAGGCGGTGGAGGCTGTGGACGTCGCCCTTGAGGTCGCAGAGCGTCTTGAGCTCCGTGAGCTCGTCGCCCTTGGTCCACAAGATCACGTTGCGCACCCAGAGCTCGGCGCGCCCCGGGCAGGCGGCCAGCGGCATCTGCTGGAGCGCGTCGAGCAGCACGACGCGCGAGTGGACGTTGAGGTCCGCGACGCGCTGCACCGCGAGCAGGTCGACGAGCTCCGTGCGCGCGCCGCGCGCCTCCCGGCTCGACGTCCAGTAGTAGGACGGGCTCCGCTTGCGCCAGTTGTCCTCGGTCCCCGCCTCCCGGCTCACGGACCCGCCCTCGTCCTTGAGCTTGTAGACGAGGAGCCCGAGCTTCACGCGGCGGAGCAGCGAATTCAACTCGTCCGCCGTCGCGTCCTGGAGCGTCTCGATGATGAAGCGCTCCAGCCGCACGGTCTCGCGCCGCCGCCAGAGCCGCGTGATCGTCGACGGGATGTAGTAGTGGTCCAGGCGCATCAGCGCGTCGTCGACGCGCGCGAGCGCCTGGATCTGCTCGTCGAGGTCCGGCCGCAGCGACTCGCGGCTCCGCTGCCGGCTAAAGTGGGGCGTCCGCACGAGCCGCCGCCGCCGGAGCCACCGGTCGTACCAGGAGATCCAGAGCGTGAAGATCGACACCTACAGCGCGCGGAGATTCGGCGGAGGCGCCGCGAGACTTCGGAGACGCGGGGCGCCGGACGAAGGTCACGCCGAGCACGGGGCTGTGGTTGCCGATGCGCAGCGGGCTGTCCTCGGAGAAGAAGACGGCGCTGCTCAGCAGCATGGCGACGACGGTCCAGAACCGGTTCTCGGCCTCCTGCGCGTAGAGCAGGGGCGACCCCTCGGACGTGAGGAAGACGACGATGAGCACGAGGCTGAAGAGGCAGGACGTGCCGAAGAGGACGCCGACGCTCTGGAAGAGGGACACGAGGCCCACGATCATCAGCGACAGGATGCCGCCCGCGGCCAGCTTGGGCTGGGCGCCGAGGGCCATGGCGGTCGCTGCGCCGCCGCGCCCGAGCCACGCCGCGCGGCGCGCCGCCGCCGCTTCGCGCGCGGAAGCGAGGCGACCGCTCGACCGAGAGCTGTGTCAGCGCGGTGCACGCGCGCGCCGGCCGCTGGGCTCTGTCAAGAAGAGGGGCTCACACCTCGGGCGCGTCGACGATTTGTGGCAACCAAAGTTTGCCTCGCCATCTCGCGCACTTCTCGGCGCCGATGGTGCCGCAGTGGTCCTGCGCGTGCGAGGCCATCGCGAGACCATCGAGGACGACCGCGCGTCCATCTCCCGCCGGCGAAGCAAAGCAAAAAAAAACAAGGTCGACCACCCGCGAGAAGAAGTTCGCGCCGGCCTTACGCCGCGCGCGCGCGCCGCGGGAGCACAACAAACGACCCCCGAAGAGCGCTCCCCGCCTCAGAGGTCGCCGGACGGCGCCTCGGTGATGAAGCTCGACATGGAGCCGTGCTGCTTCGTGCCGCTGCCGAGGACGGGGAGCGTCATGCCGCGCGCCGCGCGGACGATCTCCTGGCGGATTCGTCGGTCCTCCTTCATCTTCAGCAGCTTCTCCGCTCGTCGGCTCCGCGACAGCGCCTCGTGGCGCTTCTGCTGGACGCGGTGGCGCATCTCCGCCTCCTCCTTCTTGCGCCAGTACTCGAGGCGCTCCGCGGCCTTGAACTCCTGCTCGATGATGTGGAACTTGCTCTTGTTCCGCTCGAGGTCGATGACGCGGCCGGCCTTGTCGATCTGGCCCGTCTTGTAGAGGTGCGTCTGCACGGACCGGTTCTCGAAGTAGTGGCGCATGTTCGGGTCGCGCAGCGCGTTGTACTCGCCGCCGGACGTCGCGAAGGAGCTGTCCCACTCCTGGCGGGGCGGCATGGTTTTTCCGTGTCGCGGGCGCCGGCGGACCCCCGGCGCGACCGGCGACGTGCAAAGAAAGAGGGGGCTCCCGGCGGCGGGCGGGCGCCTCTCCCGACGACGACGGCCTCTCAGACTGCGTTGGGCAAGATGATACCGCGCGGCACCTAGCCTAGCAGGCTGGATACGTTTGGCCTCGCAACGATGGCCGACGCCGTGCCCTCCCAGTCGACGCCCGCGGCGCCCGCGCCGACGAAGGTGGGCATGATGTGGTCGGACCTGTCCGCGGCGAAGCTCGAGGAGATCCGCGCGGAGCCCGCCGCCGGCGAGAAGATCCGGTGCGTCGGCGGCCTCGGCGTATGAAACGCTGCCCCGACGCGCGCTCCATCCCTAGGTTGCTCTGCGAGACGCTCGCCGTGAAGCACTACGCGGACAACACGTGGAGCGGCATCCTCGTCGACTTCCTCTACTACAACATCCTCTTCTGCGAGGAGAAGGGCCTCACGCCGGAGAAGACGTCCGCGTTTTTCACGATCATGAAGCGCGTCTTCGAGTTCACGTTCCGGCCGGAGCTCGAGCCGGGCAACGTCGACGACGACGTGGAGCGCGTCGGCGTCGACGCGTCCTTCGCCTTCTTCAAGGAGCAGATGCTCCGCCACAGCGTCGAGGCGCCCGCGGAGGGCTCCGTCGGCCTCTTCACGGTCGCGGACGTCGAGTTCATCGCCGAGTTCATCTCGACGACGCGCGTCCGGCGGCGTCGGTCCTCGTGCTCGGTGTTGTGGAACGTCGCGCCCCGCCGCAGGTTCTACAGGCACTTCAAGGCCTACAGCTACTGCTTCTACAACAAGCAGCCGGACGAGAACGTCGAGCGGACGCTCGTCGTCGAGACGCCCCTCCCGCCGCCGCCCCTGGCCGAGGCGACGACGGACGCGACGAACGAGCTCGCCGAGCCGCCGGCGCCGGCGCCCGTGCGCGCGCCCGTCGCCGAGGGCCTCGTCGACGCCGAGTGAGCGCGACCCCCGGCGGCCGTAAACGTGCGGATAACGCGGGTGAGAGGCAGCCCCGCCCGCGGCGTCGGCCCTCGGCGCTGGCCATGGCCATGGACTCGGTCGTGAGCGACGTGAACTTCGACGTGAACGCGGCGGAGTCGGCGGCGCTGCAGCGCCACGTGAGCGACTTCGCGGAGATGCTCGTGCGCGACTTCCTCAACAAGCGGGGCCTGTCGAAGACGCTGTCGACGATGAACGGCGAGGCGTCGGAGCTGGGCCACGCGCCCCCGACGCTCGAGAGCTGGACGACGATGGCGGGCCTCGTGGGCCTCACGGAGCTGCTCCAGGCCAACGAGGCGTCGCCCGGCGGCTCCCTCGGGACGATCCTCGAGGTGCTAACGAGAGAGCTCGTGCGGGAGACGAACATCAAGATGCGGCGACCCGTGACGATGACGGTGCTGCACGCGGCGCCGTCCTGCGCGGAGCAGCGCAGCGCGTCGCTGGAGCGCCTCACGCGCACGGGCCCCGGCCCGGGCGACGACCCGCGCGACTTCGGCGCGGCCGCGGGCACCGCGCGGCCGCGGAAGCGGGAGACGAAGAAGCCGCCCGTGCCGCCGCCGCCGACGCTCGGGCCCGGCGAGCTCGCCGGCGGCGCGTCGACGCTCCACAAGCACCTGGGCAAGATCTCCCAGCCCGCGAGCCTGCGATCGGCGCCGCGCGTCGTCGCCGCGCACGGCCGCGTCAAGCTCAGCCGCGAGAACTGGATCCCCATGGACTGCCGCGAGCGCATGCTCCAGCGCGACCTGGCCGTGACCAAGTCGAACGTGGAGCTCATGGCGAAGCGCCAGGTCTTCGTGGACACGGACGAGCGGCACCACCGGTTGAGCGAGCTCGAGCAGAACCAGACGGAGGAGCGCTACGGCATCAAGAAGAAGAAGAAGTGCGGCCTCTGCCATTTGGAGTATTCGCTCATCAACCTCGTGCTGGACGTGCCCATGAAGGCCGTGCGGGACCTGCGGAACACGTGGGCGGACGAGTTCGCGACGCACCCGCAGCACAAGAAGGAGTGCGCGCGGTCCCACAAGGCCTTCGCCTACGACCAGGTCGGCGTCTGCGTGCTCTGCTCCCAGTTCTTCCAGCTCGGCCAGCAGGACATGTACCGGCCGAGCTACGAGAAGAAGGTCTCCGAGAAGCAGCGCAAGCTCCGGAAGGAGCAGGAGGCCGCGGCGAAGCGGTACTGGGACCCGGTCAAGCAGCTCGAGGATGACCGCAAGAAGGGCAAGGGCGGCTACGCGACCTCCGACGCCGCCGACGGCGTCCGCGTCCCGCCCGCGCCGCTCGCCGCGGACCCCTGAGGCGCGTACATCACGCGGGAGTTTCACGAGGCTAGCTCACGCGCGCGCGGCGCGCCGGCTCCGCTCGGCGTCGACGCCGCGCGCGTCGAGCCGAGAGGAGGCGGCACGCGGCTTCGATGCCGTCCCAGCGGGGGTAGCCGACGTTCGCGAAGTCGCGCGCCTGGAGTGGGTCCCCTGCTTGCTCGAGAGGTGGACGTCGTCGCGCGCGGGCTCCGCGAGGCCGACGTAGTCCCAGAGCGCGGCGTGGCGCGGCGTCCGGTCGATGTAGTCCTCGAGGTAGTGGACGAAGGCGGCCGCGCCCCGCGCGGGCGGCCCGCAGGGCCCCGGCGCGCTGCCGGCGTAGCTCGCGAAGCACTCGCGCTGCTGCCGAGAATCGCGCGCGACGGCCGGGCGGTCGCCGACCACGGCCGAGTGGAACTCGCGCGTGGCGTTGCGCCGCATGTGGAGCACGACGCGCGGCCGCGCGCAGAGCGTCTCGAGGAACGCGACGTCGTCGCGGAAGGTGCCGACGTTCGGCGGCCGGCCGTAGCGGATCTCCTTGAAGCCGAAGGCCGGCGCCCCGCGCGGGTTCAGCACGGCGCGCGCGAGCGCGTCCGTCGCCGCGCCCACGTCGGCGGCGTCGAAGACCGCGCGCCAGGCCGCCGCGTCGTGCGCGTTGGACCGCGGCTGTTTCGCGGTCCGCCTCATCTTCTCGGCGAAGCGCGCGAGCGCCGCGAACGCGCCCCAGTTCTCGCCGCTCATCTCCACGCCGGCGCGCGCGAGCAGCTCGGCCATGGTCGAGCTGCCACTGCCCGGCGTCGCCAGCAAAAACACGCACGTCTCGTCCGCCGGAGCCGCGAGTCGCGCGAGCGCGAAGAGGACGACGGCGGCCGCGCGCATCCGGCTCAAGTTGGGCAGCAGCCGAGCGCCGATGCCATTGCGGGCTGCCTGCACTGGTGGGACAAGGCCGGTCTTGAGTTGGCCTTGCCGCTCACGACTTGGGCGCACGGTGGTCGTCGCTTCGAGAGGCTGCCACCAACCGCGCGCCCGCGCCCCGCACGACCGCCCCGGTTCCGCCACCCGTCCCGTTCACACCGCGGCGCTCGCCGGGAGCCGCGCGTCGCCCGGGCGCCGCGCCGCCGCGCCCCGGCCGCGCGCCGCGCCGCCTCGCACGCCTCGGAACGGCCGGCCGAGCGCGAGCGCCATGAACTACGGCGGCGCGGAGAATGGCGCGAGCCACATCCAGAACGACCCCTTCACGCCGTTCATCGACGACAGCGAGTTCGTCTCCTTCATCGACGACGGCCCGGGCGGCGGCGGCAAGGGCGGGCCGATGGCGCAGCCGACCGGCATCGCGCCGAGCCACAGCTTCGAGGAGCTGCCCGGCGGGCAGCGCGGCCTCATCTCGCGCCAGGGCACGAGCGAGCTCCTCGGGGGGCGGCCGCTGCCGCCGGGCGGCCTCATCCCGCGGCAGTCGACGGCCGAGTTCATGGGCTCGCTCGGCGGCCTCATCTCGCGCCAGGGCACGTCCGAGATGCTCAACGGGCCCGGCGTGCCCCGCAGCGACACGGCGGAGTGGCGCAACGTCGCCGCGTCCGTGAGCCTCCAGCACAAGGGCCTGGCGGGCGTCGGCGGCATCCCCGGCATCGGCGCGTGCGGGAGCTTCGACGAGGGCGAGCACCCGGGCCTGGGCGTGCCCCGGGGCCACTCCTTCGACACGGGGGGCAACCGGAGCTTCGACTCCAACGAGTCGCCCCACAGCTTCCACGCCGAGGCGCCCAACGGCGGCTTCCCCGTCGGCATGCTGCCGCACAGCAACTCGCGCGACTGGGCGCTCGAGGACGGCCCCGGCGCGCCGGGGGCGCTGGGCCGGAGCCTCGCCAGCGGCCACATCGGCCGCTCCGCGTCCCGCGACGACTCGTCGGAGGCGTCGCGGCCCCTCGACGGCGGCGGCGGCGGCGGCGACGGCGCCGCGTTCCCGCAGTCGAACAAGGACCAGCTCGAGGACCTGCTCTCCATCCTCGCGTCCCAGGTCGCGCCCGTCGAGGCCGCCGCGTCTTCGGCGACGGCGCCGGCGCCGGCGCGCAAGAAGAAGGCGAAGCGGGACGCCGGCGGCGACTTCGAGGACGAGAGCGACGACGAGTCGCAGGCCGAGGGCTTCGACGAGTTCGACGACGAGGAGGCGTCCGACGACGACGACGCCCCCGGCGGCAAGCGCAAGCGCAAGGGCAAGCCCACGGCCGAGGCCAAGGCGGAGATGACGAAGCAGCGGAACCGCGAGCACGCGCGGTCGACGCGGCGCCGGAAGAAGCAGTACGTCGAGCAGCTCAAGAAGCAGGTCGCGGAGCTGCTGGCGAAGCAGCAGCAGCTCAACGCGCGCGAGGGCTTTGGGGAGGGCGCCCACGGCGCGCCGTCGTCGCCGCGGCACCAGGAGCAGGTCCGCGTGAAGACGGCCGTGCTCCAGGCGTTCCTGCTCTGCCGCGTCAACGGCACGGTGGACCGGGACCGCTGGCGCGACATCGTCGACGACCACATCCGCGTCACGCTGCCCCAGACGCCCTACCGCGCGACGAACGTCGGCGAGAAGGGGCCCCACGGCGCGCGGCGGCTCAAGGGCGTCGAGAGCCTCATCCGCGATTGCGTGTCCGTCGCGCGCCTCGTGGACATGATCCGCCGCCGCGCGGGCCAGCTCCTCGCGCACCGGTCCAGGGGCGAGCCGCCCAGGGACGGCGACGGCGCGGCGGCCCGGGCGCCGAGCCCCGCGTCGCTCGCGGCGCGGGTGGAAATCCAGACGCACGCGGCGCCCGAGGACGTCGTCATCGTCGGCGACCGCCTCATGTGCCACTGGAAGGCGACGACGCGGGGCCTCGCGGACATGGGCTTCGACGCCGAGGTGAGCCTGGACGGCCTGGGCCGCGCGACGTTCCACAAGAACAAGCTGCGGGACGTCGAGCTCTCGTTCGACGCGCTGTCGTTCACGCGCCAGCTCCAGGCCTTCGGCCTGCTGGACCTGGGCCTGATCCGCGCGGAGGAGGACGTCGCCGGCGACCTGCCGCCGGCGGCCCAGTCCTCCAAGGCCGGCGCCGCGCGGCCCGCGCCGCGCGACGCCGCGGCCGCGCCGCGCGGCCGCGCGGCGCCGGGCGCGGCGCCGGGCGCGGCGCCCCGGGGCCTGCCGCCGGGCATGATCCCGGGCCACCACGCCGCCGCCGTCGCCGCCGCCGCCGCGGCGGCGACGGGCGCGCGGGGCGCGCCGAGCCCGCGCGGGCCCCGCGGGCTACCGCCGGCGCTCGTTGCGCAGCAGCAGCTCCTCGCGCGGGCCCAGCTCGCGCAGGCCCAGGCGGCCCAGGCGGCCCGGGGCCTGCCGCCGGGCGCGCCGCGGCCCACGGCCCAGCAGTTCGCCCAGGCGCAGATGGCGCAGCAGCAGCTCCTCGCGCAGCAGCAGCAGCAGCTCCAGCGGCAGGCGGCGCTCCACCAGGCCCAGGCGGCCGCGCGGCAGCAGCCGGGCGCGCCGCGGGGGCCGCCGCCGCCGCGGGCCAACGCCCAGAGCGACGGCGCCCTGGGGCTCCTCGCGGGCGCCGCGCTCCCGCCGCGCGGGCCCTTCGCGCGCGGCGCGCCCGCGCCGCGGGGCCTGCTCCCGGCCGTGCCCTTCGCGGGGCCCATGCCGCCGGGCATGATCCCGGGCATGCAGCACCCGGGCGCCGTCCCCTTCCCCGCGGGCGTGCTCCCGCCGGGCGCCCAGTTCCTGCCGCCGGGCGTCGGCATCTCGCCCCGCGGGCCGCCGCCGGTCCAGTTCCCGCCCCGGGGCCCGCCGCCGCCGCGCGCGCCCCCGCCGGGCTGAGGGGCGCGCGCTCCTCTAACGCACAAGGCGTCCGCTTTCTTCTTCTTTTTTGGTTGCGGTGCGGGCGAGGGTGGGCTGCTCCGAGAGCCTCCGGACGACGGGCCCCTGCACGACGGTCCGGCCCCGGGACGGGGGCCGGGGACGGCGGGCACGGGGGTTCCGGCACGGTAAATGCGCTCCGGGCACGCGGCCCGGCACGGGCCCGCACGCGGCACGGCACTCGGCACGGGCCCCCGGGCACGGGCCAGGCACGGGCCACGCGGCCCGGCACGGGCCCGGCACGGGGCCCCGGGCACGGCCCGGGCACGGGCCGGGGACGTGGCCGGGGACCGCGGCACGCACCGTTGTGCAGGACCTTGCAGGGCCCCCTCGGACGGGATCCGGACGCCTCGAGAGTCAACGATCCGTCAATTTGACTCGGACTCGGCGTCGACGACCATCTCGAGTGGCCCCTCGCGCGCGCGCGCTCGAGCAGCGCGCGATTTGCTAAAGAGTACGCGGCCCGCGCTTAAGATGGTCGCGACACGGTCGGCGCGCGCCCGCAAATGCGCTTTCACGTCGCTCCCGGAGTCCGTGCTCTTTGAGTCGCTCCGATTACTCGAGCTGAAGGATCTCGGCTCAGCGATCGTGGCGCTCGGCATCAAATCGCCGCCACTGGCGATTCTCGTGGACGAGGCCCTCGTGTCCAACATGCACTCCTTCTCGGCGAACTTTGTCGACGACTATGGTCATTACGGGTACGCGGTGGCCAACGACCACAGCGATTGCAGCGGCGCGCTGCATTTCACCGTGCGGGCCCCGTGCCCCTTCGAGGCGCGATGCCGCTACTTTCGGGCCAAGGTTTTGAAGCTCGATGAAGCTCATCTGTACCCATTGCTCGAGGCCCACGTCGCACGCCTCTCCGACGCGTTCTACGTTCACGACATGAGCGTCTTCGAGGACGCCCACTCGTCAGAGAATTGCACGCTACTGAGCCTTGCAGACGTGGAGGACGCGGCGAACCCGCGGCGGGTGCTCTTTCTCGTTTCGCTCGGCATCCAGAAGGACTCCCAGCATGGGCCCGGCCACGCCGGGCGGCACTCCATCGCCGTCGACGTGCTCTTGCCGGAATTGGATCGCTTTCACAACCTCTGGCTCTACGATTTCGATACGTCCATGTCCCGGCGTGGGTTCGGATGGTGCGATGAGGAGGACGACCAGCACTACCGCCACCTGAGCAACGAATGCCGCCTCGACGCCGCGGCGAGGAGCCGGCTCAATCGCGCCTGCGGCCTCGAAACGAGCGAGGGTGCCGATCTCCGCCAACTCGTGGAGCTTGTTTCCTTACTCGGCGGCGCCTCTGGTCGCGCCTCGGGCTGCCTCGACAACGCTTTCGACAACTTCCTCGAGCAGCGCGCCAAGTACGGAAAGTGGTGCGCCCGTGCCGAGGAAAAGAAAGCTGCCAAGAAGTCGGCCGTCAAGGAGGATGAGACGGCCAAGGAGACGGAGTCCGACGACGACGATTACGATGAAGAAGATGGAGACTCGATGATCAATGATTATGGCTCTATTGACTGCGAGGTCGCCGGTGACGAACCTGGCTACTGGAAGTACCCGGCTGGACCTGACGGGAATATACTGTGTCGTGGCGCGGAATGCTACGGCGGCAGCCCGGAGATTCGGAAGCAGCTCCTCGACTGGCTTCCGACCATCGACCGCTCGAGCCTCGGCGCCGTCGTCGCGGCGACGCAGGGCTTCGGCGCCCGATTCACAGACGACTGCTACGAGCAGGAGGAGGAGCGCATGCATCTTGAGAGACTCGAGGAAGAAAAGGGCTTCGCGAGCCGCGTCGCGGGCCGCGCCCGCACCTGGCTCGGGGGCGGGAAGGCGTAGCCGCATCTCCGCCCTACTTCTTAAAGATGAAGCTCCCCCGGTCGTGGGGCGCGCGGTCGTCGCCCGCCGCGCGCTGCGCGTCGACCTTGGACTCGATGTGCTTCGCGAGGTCGTCGAGCTGGCGCGCGGCGACGGCCATGCCCTCGCCGCAGATGGCCGCGAGGTCCGGGTTCGTGCGCGGGATGCGCCGGTAGAGCACGGCGAGGACCTTCAACAGGTCCTCCTCGAGGCGCACGCGGTGGCACTCCGTGATCGTCGCCGGCGGCGGCCGCGGCGCGTCGACCAAAGCGTGCATCTGCGGGTGGTTCGCGATGGCCGGCTCGTCGGCGATCTCGAAGAACTCGTGCAAGCTCAGGCCCTCGGCCTCCCAGGTGCCGTGCAAAAGCGCGTCCTTGCCCGGCAGGGGCTTGAGCAGCGCGAGCCAGCAGAGCGCCTCCGTGAAGTCGATGCGCGTGAGCGAGTCCGCGGACGTGGGCTTCACCTTGGACTGCGTCGCGCGGACGCCGGCCTTGGCTTTTTTGGCCTTCGCGTTGGACTCCGGCGGCGGCACGCGCGCCCAGGCGAAGACGAGGCGCGCGTCGGACACCGTGAAGTCGCCGTCGTACGCGCGTTTCGGGAGGTGCGCGCGCTTCGCGCCCTCGTCGCCCTCCGCGGGCGCGTTGTGCGCCGGCCGCACGTCGCCCCGGATCAACGCCGCGTCCCGCAGCAGGCCGAGCCAGCCCGCCACCGTCAACAGCACGGAGTCGTGGCGCCGCGTGTAGTAGGAGAAGAGCGCGTTGACCTTGGACTGGTGGCTCTTGAGCACCGCGTCGACCTGGGGGCTGTAGAGCGCGTGGCGCCGGAAGAGGTCCGCGTCGATCAACGCCCGGGGCCGCCGGCTCGCGAGGGCGTCGAGGCCGCCGCCGAGGACGACGTCGACCGCGTCGCCGACGCCGCCCGCGTCGTCGCGCGCCGGCCGCGACGCGACCATGCCCGCGACGTAGACGACCAGCGCGCCGCAGAAGTCGGCGGCGTCGAGCACGGCGCGGTCCTCGGCGTCGCGCTCCGGCGCCGCGGCGGCCGCCGGCGGCGGGTCGCGCGCGCAGCGGTCGAACGCGTCGTCGCCCGCGGAAGCGTTCGCGCAGACGCGGCGCCGGTCCACGAGGCCCAGCGCGTCGAGCAGCTCGTGCCAGCCCCGGCGGCCGAGGCGCGTCGGCGACGCCGCGTCGCTCGCGGGGAAGGCCGCGCAGCCGTGGCGGAAGACGCGCCGGAGGCGGCCGTGGTGCTTTCGGAGCGCGGCCTCGACGGCGACCACGGCCGGGTGGGGCGGCCGCTTCTCGGCGCGCATCGACGGCTTCTTCTTGGACATCTTGGACATGGTCACGCGGCCGTCGGCGGACGTGGAGAACTGCATCTTCTCGTACGCGGCCGCGACGTCCTCCATCGACGCGCCCTTGACGAAGTCGGGCTTGGCGAAGGGCGACGCCTTGGGCGACTTGGGCGACGTGGGCTGGACGGGCCGGGCGCCCAGGGCATCTAAAACAGCATCGCGGACCGCGACCTTCTCCCAGTCGTTCCGGAAGTTCAGGTCCGCCTGGTCCTGCTCGAAGTAGCTCGACTCGTCCTTGCGCCGGTTGAAGGACTGGAGCCCGTCGAGCACCTGCAGGTGGTCCCCGCGCTTCATGATCGCGCTCGCGTTGCGGTGGAACTGGCTCGCGAGGCGCGGCGACATGCCCGCGGCACCGCCGGCCTTCTTCGCCGGCGGCGACCCCGGCCGCGGGACCGACGCGTGGTCGTACGAGTTCGCGCGCGCGAAGGACGGCCGCGCGGGCGACGCGAGGTCGCTCTTCATGCGCTTCATGGCCACGGGGCGGAAGGGCTCCAGCGGCGCGAAGGGCCGCTCCTCGGCCGCCGGCGGCGGCCGCGGGCTCTTCGGGCCCGGCGCGAACGGCGAGTTCTCGCCGAGCTCGCGCCGCGTCTCCGCGTCGGCCGACGCCCAGGCGAGGGCGCGCTCCTCGCGCAGCTTCTTCTGGGTCTGCGCCGCCTTGCGCGCGCGGTCGACGGTCATGCGCCGCAGCGCCGTCGCCGTGTTCGTCGACAGCGCCGCGCCGCGCGCCGCGCCGTCGGGGAGCACGGGGTCGCGGCGGACGCCCCGGGGCAGCTCCGTCATCGCCGCGAACTCGTGGGCGAGGAGCTGCGGGTGGCTCTCGAGGAACTGCTTCACGCGCTGGCGCGCGCCGTCCCCGTCGTGCGCGATCGACGACCCGAGTTTGGCTAAAAGCCGCTCCGCGGCGAGCTCCTGCTGCTTCATGTCGTAGAGCGCGTAGGGGTCCGTGATGGCTTTTGCCAACGTGGGCCGGTCGCTCTCCTTCGCTAACGCCATGGACGACAGGATCGCGCCCGCGGCCTTCTTGAAGCCCTTCCGCGCCTGCGACGACCGGTCGGACTTGACGATGGCGGACTCGGCCTGCTTCGCGCGCCGCGCCTTGTCGAGCTTGACGCGCTTCGCCGTCTCCGCGAACATGCGGTCGACCAGATTGAAGTCGTTCTCGTAGTTGAAGACGGCCTCGTCGTTGATCCTCCGGTTCCGGTCGGGGAACTCGACGACGATCGTCGGCGCGGACCGGTTCAGCCGCGCGAGCGACGAGGACACGGACTCCACGGCCTCGTGGAGCCGGTGCTCCTCGCCGCACTTGCACGTGTTCTCGAGGCGCAACGAGTGGAGCGACGCGGGCGACACCGCGCGGCCCTCCGCGGGCGCGCGGCCGACGGCTTTGACCACCAACAGCGCGCCCTCCGTGCCCAGCGGGTTCCAGCCCAGCTTCAGCACCTGGAGCTTCCGGCAGCCGGCGACGGCCGCGGCGAACTCGCCCGCGGCGAAAGCGCCCAGCCGGTTCCGGGACGCGTCGAGGATCTTGAGGGTGGAATTCGCGGCGACGCTCCGCGCGAGCGCGACGCCCGCCGCGTCGCCGAGCTGGTTGTAGCTCAGATCCAGCGCCGCCAGCGCGCCCGTCGGCGACGCCAGGGCCGGCGCCGCCACGAGCAGCGCCCCGGCGTCGCCGAACTGGTTCCAGGACGCGTGGAGCACGGCCAACCCGCCGTCGACGGCGCCGCGGCGCTCGTCGCCCGCGGCCCGCAGCAGCGGCGCGAGCGCCTCGACGCCCGCCGCCGTCACCCGGTTCCCGCTCACGTCGACGAGCTCCAGCTTCGCGTGGCGCCGGAAGGAGCCGCCGAGCTCGCCGGCCGTGAGGTCGCCCGCGCCCGTGTTCGCCATTGCCACGGCGCGCAGGACGCCGCAGTGGAGTCCGAGCGCTTTGACGAAGCCCGCTAAAGCCCGGTCGCCGAGCTTGCCGTTGCACGACACGTCGACCTCGTCCAGGGACGCCCCGCCGCCCTCGGCGATGCCCGCGGCGAGCGCGTTGATGCCCGCGGGGCCCAGGCCGTTCTGCTGGAGGCGCAGCACGCGCGCGGCCGTCGCGGAGCTGAACGCCGCGGCGAGCGGCAGCATGCCCCGGTCGCCGAGCTGGCCGCCGCGCACGTCGACGTTGCCGTTGCCGATGGACACGACGGCCCGCGAGCTCGGCAGCGTGCGGTGCTGCTCGCAGACGGAGCGGTACGTCGTCGCGCCCTCGCCGTCCTCCAGGAGGTGCTCGATCTCGCTGTCCGCGTCGCTAAAGTCCACGGACCGCCCGCCCAACGACCCGTCGTCGAGCAAGCCGCCGACGGACTCGTCGTCCGCGTCCGCGTCCGACGCCGCGGACCCGCGGCCGCTGAGCTCCTTGCCGAACGCGGAGAGGTCGCGCGACGCCTCTTTCGTCAACAGGTTCGTCAATTTCCGCGTCGTCGCGATCTTGCGCAGCGCGGACTGGAAGTGGAGCGCCGTCTTCTTGCGGCCGGGGCTCGCCGGCGACGGCGGCTCGGCGAGCTGGCCCCGGCGCGTCTCCTGCTTTTTCAACTTCTGCTGCGTGCGGATCTTCTTGAGCGCGCCCTGGTAGACGTCCGCGGAGTCGCCGCCGTAGTTGATCGTGCCCGTGCGCGCCTTGCCGCCCAGTAAGGTATAGCCGCGGCCGCCGCGCACGGCGACGCCGGCCTGCTCCTTGGGCGACCCGGGCTTGGCCTTGGGGGGCGCGGGCACCGTCGACGGCCGCGCGCCGCCGCGCGGCGGCGGCGCGGCCGCGTCCGCGACGAAGATGGACGGCCGCGACTTGTCCCTGGCGGCGCGCTGGCCCGCGCGGGCGACGCGCGCCGCGGCGAGCGTGCGCTCGTACTCCTTCTGCTCGTTCGCGAGCTCCGCGGAGACGAGGCGCGCGGTCCGCCGCGTCGACTGCGCGCCGATGTTGCCGAGCGCCGTGGACCGGCTCGCGACGCCGCCGCCGGCGTTCAAAATCATGAGCTCGGCCTGGACGCGCGACACGGGGCCGCCGCCCTTCTTGGCGACGCTCGCGCGCCGCGGCGACCCGGCCGTCGACGCGCGGCGGCCGCGGCCCGCGGACGACGCGCGGCGCCCCGCGGACGACCCGCGGCGGCCCAAGACGGTGCCCAGGGGCGCCTTGACCATGGTCTTCTTGAAGCGCGACACCGTGGAGTGGCGCGGCAGCTCCGCGTGCTCCAGCGACGCCGGGGCGCTGCTGTCGCTGCTCGAGCTCTGGCCGGCGACGGCGTCCTCCTGCATGGCGCGCCAGGACTCGTTCTGGCCCGCGGTGAGGGCCGACCGCGCGCCGCCGCCGAGCGAGCTCATGGCCACGCGCGGCATGGTCGCTTCGATTGGAAGCTGGATTTCACCGAGCCGTGTAAGCCATCATCAGGGCTGCCGCCGTGTCAAACCGATCGACCGTCCTTGCGGTCTGCAAGTGATCGGCGACTTTGCCACAGATCGGCTTAGTCCAGAGCTGCGAGTACGCGCGGCGCGATGGTGCAAACGAGGAGCCAGCGCACGGCCGCCGCAAACGATGGAACGACGATGAAGCAGCGCAAGGCGCCGGCGAAAGCCACTGCGCCGGATGCGGACGACGAGCCCAAGGATCGCACGTCGCTCTACGGCTCGCTGCTGCGCCGCTTTCCGCTGGCCATGAACGCCGTCCAGGCCGGCGCGCTGAGCGCGGCGTCCCAGCTGCTGTCGCAGCGGCTCAAGGGCGCGGCGGCGCTCGACTTCGCGCCGGCGCTGCGGTTCGCGCTCATCAGCGCTTTCGTGGTGACGCCCGTGAGCACGGTCTTCTTTTCCATCGTCGGCAAGTTCCGGCTCCGGACGCCCGCGTCGCTGGCGCTCGACTTCTTCGTCGGCGGGCCGTTCCTCAACTGCGCCTTCATCGCCGCGCTCCACGGCCTCCAGGGCCAGGACCTGGCCTTCATCCTCGGCGTGCTGCGGTCGCGGGCCTTCTGGGTCGACATGGTCCTCGGCTCGAACAAGGTGTGGCTGCCCGCGAAGGTCGCCATGTACTCGCTCGTGCCGCCGGAGTACTGGGGGCTCTGGTGCTCCTGCGTCTCCTTCGGCTGGGGCATCGTCCTCGCGACGATCGTGAGCGACGCGAACTAAAAAACTGGCGGTCGACTCGGGTCCTCGACGAACGCGTGCGCGGCTGAGGACCGACGGACGGCCGCGCCTAACTCGCCGAGAGAACGCGACTCGTCCAAAACCGGCCGAGCGACTTTGCGCGATCTTCAAGTATCATATGCTCGGTATGTTGGACTAGTTATTGAAGGGGGTGCGCACCCGAAGACCCCGCCCGGAGGCTCAGACGGAGGCGTAGCCGGGGGGTTGGCGTTCCCACACCGGCCCCTTCCTCCGACCCAAAGATCGCGCGTGCACTCGGATCGGAGGTGTGGCGGCGGTACACTTGCGCCAAGCCTGGTACCGACCGCCACGCCGAGAGCACGCCGGGATTGGCGCAAGGCAGTAGCATTCTGAGTCGCCTCATTCAGACGACACTCAACGGACTCTCCGTGGACCGGGGGAGATTGAGAACGAAGGCACTCGCACGCAACGAGCAGGACGTCCGGCTCGACTAGGCCGATTCAACCCCGGGGACCACGAATGGAGGCCGAGGGCACCGCCGAAGAGGACACCCGTAGTCAGCGGGACCGAAGAGAGCAAAGACGCCGACGTCGACGGAACCGCACAGAGCGCCACGCTACGAGGAGACGCTGCAGAATGCAGAGAAACGAATGGACACGGGCACATCGAAGCCCGCACACCGAAGCCACCGAGGGCGCCGACCCCACCAGCCCCCTCCGAGACTCACGTCGAAGGCATCCGAACGAAGCGAGCGCGCGCGGCAGCCCCCCGGGCCCGTGGGCGACGTCGCGCCGATGGCCAAGCCCTGCAAGTCCTCGCGCTCGGCGCCCCGCCGCCCAATCGACGCGCGCAGCGGAGTGCTCCGCCCCGGGCGCCCACCGGAGCCGACGCGGCGGGCCCCACCACCGGCCGCTGCGCGAAACCACCTCTGCGCACCCCGGAGAGCCGCCCCATAAGCTTCGGCGTTATCATTGTCATGTTGTTGATGTTGTTATGTTGAAATTCAGAGTGTCCGATAGACGCGCAGGGCAGCCCGAAATTGCCCGCCCATGAGGCTTCGATACGCCGTACTGCTATGCTGGGTGGTGTGCGCAAAGGGGTCCGAATGCGAGTGCGAGGACGCTCCGACCGACGAGCGGCTGCGATTACTCCTCCGCGTGCCGACAGCCGTCGAAGACGGGTCGAGAAGACGACTCGGAGACGACGAAGTCGGAGACGACGATCACATATGCGGATGCAAGGCCTCGAAGAAGAAGAAGGCGAGTGACACGAATTGGGCCGCGGTCGGCGGCGGCTCGGCCGCCTTCGTCGTCGTTTGGTGCGCGGGCGCGTACATAAATTACGGGCGGATGAACGAGAAGCTGGAGAAGCAGAGCAAGATCGTCCCGCTCGTCCAGTCCGGACTCGAGACCCCGCTGCCGCTCGACCCGTCGACGCAGGCCGTCGGGACCCCGCTGCCGCTCGACCCGTCGACGCGGGCCGTCGGCGCGCGGGCGTTGCCGGTGGCCCAGGTCGTCGCCGCGATACCGGGGCCGAAGACCCAGCTCGTCGTCGCGGCGTCCCCCGGCCCGCTCGGAGTCCATTTCAAGGCGGGGACGGCGGCGGTCGCGGAGCTTTCCCCGGGCTCGCAGCTCGCGGGCGAGGTCGAGATCGGCGACGTCCTCGAGTCCGTCAACGGACGCCCGGCTACCGCCGCGTCCCTCGCGGCCAGGCGCGGCATCCTCGAGGAGAACGACGACGGCGAAACGCCGCGGACCCTCGTCTTCGCGCGGCCCGACCGGAGGTTCGCCGTCCACGCGGCGCCGGGCTCCCTCGGCGTCGTCTTCGCCCCCGGCACGACGCGCGTCGGACGCGCTCCCGAACGAGGAAGCGTTCTGGGGCCGGCGCGATCGCAGCTCTTCGGCTTCGTCGACGAGGGCGACGCGCTCCTCTCCGTGAACGGCCGCCCGGCCGCCGCCGCGAGCCCGGCCGAGGGGGGCGTCCTCGACGAGGAGGACGACGGCGCGCGCGCGCGACTCCTCGTCTTCGAGCGCGGCCCCAAGCAGCGAAACGAGCTCTCGCCCAACGTCGAGTTCGTCATACGAGCGAAGCCCGGGCCGCTCGGCGTCGTCTTCAAGAACCGGCCAATCTTCGGGAACGGGCGGTGCGTCGATTCCGTGTCCTCGCGCTCGCAGCTCCTGAACCGAGTCGCATGCTGGGACGAGCTCGCCTTCGTCAACGGCAAGCCCGCCACGGAAGAGAGCCTCGCGGCGGCTCGAGGCATCCTCGAGGAAGAAGACGACGGACGGACCGAGCGGGTCCTCGTCTTCCGATGCCTCAGGGCGACGGGCGCGGGGCCCGGCCTGCGGGGCACGGCTCCCCCCGAAGGGAGTGGGAGGTGCGGGCACCCCAGGCTATCTCGAGCTTAGTCCGTCCCGCCCCAGTCCTGGGATGGCGACGCGTCGGCGACGCGATTTTGCCCAGGATTTTGCCCCGGCCTCGCTGACGAGTTGCATGCCGCCCTCAGACTTGAAGACTGGGCTCACCGCTTGACCTCCTCGTCGCGCCGCCGCGACGCCGCGACCGGGGGTGACCCGACCGAACGGGCTTCACCAGGCGCCCGCAGCGTCTCCCACACGCTCCCGAATCGTTCTCGCGAAAGAGCATCGCGCGCCGCGGCGACCAATCGCTGTTTCTCGGCGCGCCGAAACCGATCCCTGTTTCTCGCGGCGAGGACGCGACCATGGCCGCGACGGAGGACGCCGCCGCCCTGACGACGAACGTCGACGCCCTGGAGGCCGCGGCCGCCGCGCCGCTGCCCGACGAGTCGCAGATCGAGGCGTCCGCGGAGAAGTCGCCGCCGCGGAGCCCGCGGTCGCGCAAGGCGGACGGCGACAAGCCCGCGCCGAAGCCGCGGCGCGAGAACGGCCTGCGGCGCGGCAAGTGGACCGTCGAGGAGGAGGCCTACGCGAACCGGCTGATCCACGAGTTCAAGCTCGGCCTGCTGCCGCTCACCGACGGCACGACGCTCCGGACGTTCCTGTCGAAGCTGCTCAACTGCGACCCCATGCGCATCTCGAAGAAGTTCGTGGGCTCGAACTGCATCGGCAAGCAGGTCTTCCGCCGGCGCCAGGCGGACATGGACCGGCTCACGCCCGACGACATCAAGCGGAGCCGCTACGAGCTCGCGGAACTGGAGCGCCGGTTCCTCACGCGCGTCGCGCAGAGCCACCGGTCCGCCAAGTCGGGCGGCGCGGGCGCCAAGGGCGTCAAGGGCGGCGACGGCAAGGCCCTGGGCGGCGGGCTCATGCAGGCCCAGCAGCGGCCCATGCTCGCGCCGTGGCTCCTGCCGCCGCACGCGGCCGCGGGCGCGCCGACGGTCCGCGCGGGCGCGGGCGCCGTCGCCATCGCCGCGCCCTACGGCCTGCCGTCCTACGCGGCGCCGCCGCCCGCCGCGGCGCCGCCGCCGCCGCCGCCGCCGAAGCCCGACGCGGACGCGGCGGCCGCGGAGAAGGCGAAGCGCGCGGCGCTCGAGGGCCTGCACCTGCCGTCGCTCCAGTCCGACGCGTCGCTCCAGTCGCTGGGCCTCACGGCGCGCGAGCCGTCCTTCGCGTCCCTCGGCGCCGCCTGGCCGTCGGCGCCGAACCTCGCCCAGGGCTGGCAGAGCTCGAACTCGCTCGCGGGCGACGCGGCCGCGGCCGGCCGGCCGCGCGCGCCGAGCGGCGACGCGGGCCTGAGCTCCTGGCCGTCCTTCTCCCACCTCGTCACGACGGCCGACGACTCGCCGCGGCTCCCGCCCGCGGCGCCGCCCAAGGCCGCGGCGCCGCCGCTCGACATCGCGGCCGCTGCCAAGCCCGCGGAGGCGCCGCCGCTCGCGCGGCCCGCGCCGCCCGCGCCGCCCGCGCCGCCGGCGGCCGCCGCGCCGCCGCCGCCGCCGCCCGCCGCCGCGGCCCCGCCCGCGGCCGTCGCGGCCGCCGCGCCGCCCGCCGCGGCCCCGCCGCCGCCGGCCGCGGCCGCGGCCCCGCCGCCGCCGCCGGCCGAGGACAAGAAGCGGCCCGCGCCCGACGCCGCGGCCGCGGCGCCGCCGGCCGCCGCCGCGCCGGACGACGCCAAGCGCCCGCGGGGGATCCTC